TTGGATGAGAGGTGCTATGTGGGGAAAAATATTTCTGAAGTTTTTAATGGGAAAATAGCTGGTTTTACTTCCTGAAAATGAACATCTGAATGGTGCATGAAGGAATGAAAGGCAGGGGTGTAAGGTTTCAGAGGCTCATGCTGGATTTAATAGCTTGTTTTTTTAAACTTCCCTTAAATTTTTGTTCACTTACACAATGTGCATCAAAGTGTTCCAGCTAACCGCAGCCACGTGGGGGCCGCTCCTCATGAGCTGTCGTCCTGCGAGTCCAAATTGAGGAGAGGCATACATCGTGATTGGCCTAAATATCCCATTTCCAGTAAATATAATATAGATCATCTCTGGTTTCCTTCATGCTGAGTAACAAGCACGGCCACATGGGTCCTGACCAGCCGTGCGTTTCTGCAAGCACCCTGCGCACAACCAGAAGAGGGGTCTCTCCCGAGAGCCACTCCTGTAGCTGCTTAGTCTGTCTGACAAGCAGGATTTGACTTGTTTTATCATATTAATGAGAGTATTATGTACATCAGAAAAACAAGGGCCTTATTTTCCTATTTGTAAATTATGAGTTAGATCACTAAAAAGGCCTATTTTCAGAATGAAAATGCATAAATCTCTTACAATTTATTGATGTCTTTAAAAATTATAGCAGGTGTTTTTTTCTTTATATTTCTAAAACTTGACTGCCAGTTATTTTTTCTGGGTCTGAATACGATATTTGTATTTTTTTAAATTACCTTCACTTTTATCAGTAGCATAATGTACAAAAAAATTTTGTTATCATTAATCTACAGACATTTGTATTTTTATGATATAAATATATAATACCAAAGAGCTCATTTGAATTGAAAAGTTAAAAATTATGTAAGGGGTTAAATAGTTCTTTAATGAAAAACTTTATTACACAGGAAACTTAGGTTTTCAGAAATGCCAGTCACTTACATTGGCATGATTTCTTTAAAATATATCACTTTATTAGCATTAAATCTTGCTGGGCTTTTTAAAAAGTAATGAAATAAATAATTACTGATGTAGATAAAACTTACCATCCATCTCTCTGTCTCATTCTTCTTTCCTCTACTGAATTTGGTGTGGCTTTTTCCCAAGTATATAGTAAAAAATGTTCACTGTCTTGTTTGGCATGTTGTACTCTTGTACATAATGGCTTCAATCTGCACATCTCTGTGCTACCTTATTTTTACTCCATGTTACATGTATGAGTTTTCTCTATTTTAATGCATTTCTAATATATACATTATTTCTAATATATGCACTTAAGTCTGTAAATTTCCCTCTGAACATACTTTATTGTTTGCCAGTTTTAATATATTATATTTATTATTTAGCACTAAATATTTTATATTTTTCATTAGGATTGTTTTCAGTGTAGGCTTTATTAAATGTGTGCTTTAGGTTTACACAGGCATGAGCTCATCTTTGGTGATCTTTTTTGTTACTGATTTCTAATCTTATGGCATTGTGTTCAGGGCACATGCTCTATAACACTGATTTTCTTGGTTTCTATTGGAGACTTTGTATTTATTCAAAACATGACTCTCTGGTTCATTTTCACATATACTAAACATGTGTATGAAAGAACATTTTCTTCCTAACTATTGGTTGCGTGTCTGCATAGATGTCCATTGACTTAAAATTGTTCATCATATTCAAATTATTCAGTTCTTCCTAATTTTTTGTATGATTGAATTTGTTCATTAGTGAAAGAAATGTATTAACATCTCTTTCTATGATTGTGATCTGGTCAATTTCTTCTTATAATCTATTAATTTTTGCTTTACATATTTGCAGGCCATGTTAGGTGTATTTAAGTTCAGGCTTGCTATATTTTCATGTGCAGTTGCTCCTTTTGTAGTTTTATAGTTTTTAGAAACTATTTCTCATTAGGTGTTCTTTGCTTTGCATCTGTTTTTTCTAGCACCCACATGTCAGCCTTCTTCTTTTTACTTGGTGTATATGCTGTTTTTCTTCCCACCCTTCATGTCCATGCTTTAAAAATGGGCTTTGTTTTTCTTGAAAAACTTAGACCCTCCCTTCTTTCTTTTACTCAAGTTCAGTTTTTGCAATTATTATGGTCACTCTTATGTTTGATCTTACTTTGTGCTTCCCTTTCTACCTTAAAAATTCTGTACTTTATATTTATCTTGAGTTTTCTTTGCTTCTTCATTTGTTCTTCCAGTCTCTATTGGATTGATAAAGATTTTTTAATTCTTTTTTTCCCCTGTGAAAGTGTTGACCACTGTCTATCGTTTTTGCTCTATTCAGGTTTGTATCATTTAGCTTCAGAAGCTAGCAGTGTAGGTAGGTGCTGAAACTGTGTACTCGTCTGTCTGTCTGTTACATTGTGCCTGTGTCCTACTTTTTATGTTCCTGCCTGCAAAGTGCCCAGCCTTCAATAGATGACTCCAGGTGTCTGTTGACTTGCGTGTTGGGTTATGGATGTTCAGGCTATCTTGACCTAGTCCTAACGCGCGGCACTGAGCTGTGTTGAGCTTACGAGGTGAATGGAGCCCTCTGTGTGTTGTGGATCTCACCTGAAAATGGACATAAAACCCTTCATAAGTTTGTTAGAGGATAAGATGTAGCATGTTCAGAATAATATCTGGCACAGTGTTTAGATTCAGTATATGTGTTTGTTATTACCAAATTTATGTAAGTCTTTCATGTTTGTAAGTGAAGAGCCTCTTCTAGGTATGTGTACATTTTAAGCATAAATGCTTATGGATTACTTCATTAAGTTCATGTTAATATTTTGGGTATTGCTGACATGGAAGGAAGATGGAAATCATTAAGGGCTGCAGCATATTTAAGTAATGTGGGGCCCAGATGGCGCTGTAGCTGGAGCACAGTTCAATCCCATCCCTGGGACATGTGGAATCACCACAGCGTTTCTCAGCAGTGTAGGGCAGGTGGGTGTGCCTGATGATCAGTCAGAGGCAGGTCTCCCAAGGGATCTACAGCCAGGTGACACAAGCCGGTCTCCACCCTGTGCTGCACAGCCACCTGCTCACAGTGTCTTAGGGCTTCATACTTGGCAGATTAATGACTCAGACCTTGAATGCCTCATGAAGGGCATCTTTCAGATAATTTTTTGAATATGGATTATGACCTTAAAGATAAATTTTGGTGTATTATGGGGAAGACAGTGTAGCACAGAGAAGACAAGTAGTGACTCTGTGGCATCTTACTACGCTGATGGACAGTGACTGCAGTGGGTTATAGGGGGGTCTTGATAATATGGGTGAATGTAGTAACCCATTGTTTTTCTTGTGAAACCTTCAGAAGAGTGTATATCAATGACACCTTAATAAAAAAATTTTTAAAAATAGGAAATAAAAGTCACATACAAAAAAGTGCTAAGGGTTAGGAAGAAAAATAAAAAAACATCCAGAAGGAAAGAACAGTATATGAGGAAAAACTATCATAACTTCTAATCGTTATCAATAATAAAGGTAAAATTTCTCACTTAAAAAAACTTTTGGCATAGTAATATCTCAGTCTTTTGATCTTTTACCATTGGCAGTTCTGTGATTTTTCAGTGGCATTACATTTAGAAAAAACATGTCAATAAGTCTTAAGGTCAGAAGGTACCATTAGTAATTATTCATAGGAGGTTTTTGAAGTCCAACTCTGAAATTATTATAAAAAAAAGTTTGTGTTCATTTCTTACTTTAGATTCAAAGTTGTTAGATGTCATTAGCATTATGTTCATTAATTCAGCCTTTAAAGCCTGTTTTTATCCTCCTTACAATTTACAATTACAGGGGTCGCCATCCATGGTCCAGCAGCCAGAGGCTTATAATCTTTTAGCAACCACAGCCGTTGGTGATGGGATATGATTGTGGGACCTGAGAGCCCTGAGGTGAGGCCCTCCCACTTTGCAGGTGGGAGTTGGGGTGAAGCCAGAGGCTTGGGTCCGTGTTTCTACAAATGCTTAGGAAACAGTTAGCTTTCGATGTCTGCAAACCCAGTTGAACTCTTTCAAAATGTGATACGGTTGTGGGGAAACTTCAGACCAGCCAAAACCTGACAGAACTCTGAGTACAGAGAAGGTGACATGCACTTGGGTGGTGAGATAGTAGGTGCTGGGCCTTCCCTGCCCCGTGGGACACACGGCCGTGAGTGCAGGCGGTGCACAGCGAAATAACTGATGCTGTTAAACCAAGGGGCACACATATATTTATAAGATAGGTGTACTCCACAAATGCATAATGTAACAATGAAATGTATGAACATGTATGTGTGCGTGCACATATGTATTCACAAGGACACAGTGAGCAGTGTGCCTTTGCTCCTCCATTTAATCGCTGGATGAGCCTGAGACCCCTCTGGTGGTCTGTGTGCCACAGGGCATCTCAGGTGGGCTCTGCTAGACACAAGTGCCAGGAGCCAGGCCTGCTAGTGAGAAGGCTTTCTTAGGATGTCCCTATAGGCTAAAAGGTGTCAGAGATTTTCTCAATAAAACTAGCATCATTTCCCTGACATTTTTTACAGGAAACAGATTTTCATAAGTACTTGATTGTGGAATTAACCAGCTTTGGTACAATGTTTCACCTCCCCAGTCTGAAATCATTGCTCTAAATAATTTTTGATTTTAAAGGTGTGTTAATTTTGTATATTTAAAAGACCTCCAGAATATGTTTATCATTTAATATTCTTCATGTATAAAAAATTCATTTAATGTTAATTTAGTCATCTTTTGAATTTGATTTTTGAGATGTTTTAATTATTTTTAAAGATCTCAAGAGTAACATACTTGGCATTAATGATCCTCACATATAAAAATGTTCTTTCACTGTTACTTTGGTCATTTTTGTGAAGAAAAGCAGAAAGTCAGTATCTTTCTTCTAACTTGTGTTAAAAAGTAGAGAATCGCTTTCCTCCCTAAACATCCAGAAGGAAAGAACAGTGTATGAGGAAAAACTATCATAACTTCTAATCGTTATCAATAATAAAGGTAAAATTTCTCACTTAAAAAAACTTTTGGCATAGTAATATCTCAGTCTTTTGATCTTTTACCATTGGCAGTTCTGTGATTTTCAGTGGCATTACATTTAGAAAAAACATGTCAATAAGTCTTAAGGTCAGAAGGTACCATTAGTAATTATTCATAGGAGGTTTTTGAAGTCCAACTCTGAAATTATTATAAAAAAAAGTTTGTGTTCATTTCTTACTTTAGATTCAAAGTTGTTAGATGTCATTAGCATTATGTTCATTAATTCAGCCTTTAAAGCCTGTTTTTATCCTCCTTACAATTTACAATTACAGGGGTCGCCATCCATGGTCCAGCAGCCAGAGGCTTATAATCTTTTAGCAACCACAGCCGTTGGTGATGGGATATGATTGTGGGACCTGAGAGCCCTGAGGTGAGGCCCTCCCACTTTGCAGGTGGGAGTTGGGGTGAAGCCAGAGGCTTGGGTCCGTGTTTCTACAAATGCTTAGGAAACAGTTAGCTTTCGATGTCTGCAAACCCAGTTGAACTCTTTCAAAATGTGATACGGTTGTGGGGAAACTTCAGACCAGCCAAAACCTGACAGAACTCTGAGTACAGAGAAGGTGACATGCACTTGGGTGGTGAGATAGTAGGTGCTGGGCCTTCCCTGCCCCGTGGGACACACGGCCGTGAGTGCAGGCGGTGCACAGCGAAATAACTGATGCTGTTAAACCAAGGGGCACACATATATTTATAAGATAGGTGTACTCCACAAATGCATAATGTAACAATGAAATGTATGAACATGTATGTGTGCGTGCACATATGTATTCACAAGGACACAGTGAGCAGTGTGCCTTTGCTCCTCCATTTAATCGCTGGATGAGCCTGAGACCCCTCTGGTGGTCTGTGTGCCACAGGGCATCTCAGGTGGGCTCTGCTAGACACAAGTGCCAGGAGCCAGGCCTGCTAGTGAGAAGGCTTTCTTAGGATGTCCCTATAGGCTAAAAGGTGTCAGAGATTTTCTCAATAAAACTAGCATCATTTCCCTGACATTTTTTACAGGAAACAGATTTTCATAAGTACTTGATTGTGGAATTAACCAGCTTTGGTACAATGTTTCACCTCCCCAGTCTGAAATCATTGCTCTAAATAATTTTTGATTTTAAAGGTGTGTTAATTTTGTATATTTAAAAGACCTCCAGAATATGTTTATCATTTAATATTCTTCATGTATAAAAAATTCATTTAATGTTAATTTAGTCATCTTTTGAATTTGATTTTTGAGATGTTTTAATTATTTTTAAAGATCTCAAGAGTAACATACTTGGCATTAATGATCCTCACATATAAAAATGTTCTTTCACTGTTACTTTGGTCATTTTTGTGAAGAAAAGCAGAAAGTCAGTATCTTTCTTCTAACTTGTGTTAAAAAGTAGAGAATCGCTTTCCTCCCAGCATTTTCTGTGCTTGCAGGTGTGTGTGCCATGTTGAAGGCCCCGCGAGCCGCTGCCGCCCATGCGGAACTGCTTTCAGCCCATGTGGATGCTGCTTGGCTGTGGCGCCGACGACAGACATGTATGTGCCGCGTGGCGCTGGATGTCCTCGTTAGGCCCCCCGGCTTGTGATCACGGGGCCTGTGATGCTGCCAGTGACTGTTGCTTAGCTTGCCTGCTGGCTCGGGTTTGGAGATTCTCACAGAAATGGTATTCATCAGAAGTAATGTGTGGGGTTGAAAGGCACTCATGGTGTTTTAGGGAAGCGTGATACTTCAACACCAGTCATTCCTTCGTTCATTTCTTTATTCATGTATGGATCATCACATAAATTCCCCACTCTGTGGAAGACATGTTACGTGCTGGATGTTGTTTGAAGTACCAGGTAATATCATTAATAAACAGAATACCGGGTCATATCTGCCCTGCTGGGATGGCCGTGTCTCAGGAGCAATGGACTTATTTTAGTGGGCTGCTCCCCTCCCCTCGCACTCATAGTGCATTGTAGACACATGTCTTATGATGGATTTGGGATATATATTAATAAGTATCCATTTGTCCTGAGCATATTTGGAAAGGTCTTGTATTGGTTCTTAGGGCTGCTTTAACAAATCCCCTCAAACTCACAGCTTAAGATAACAGACCTCTGAGCCTCATGGTTTGGAGGCCAGAAATCCTGAGATAAAGGGTGAGCGGGGCCGTTCCTTCTTGAGGCTGTGAGGGGATCCACTCCAGGCCCTCTCCCCTCCTGGGGGTGGGCTTGGGGCCTTCCCGTCATCTCCGCCCCATCTTTACATGGTTGTCTCCCCAGTGGCCCCTGTGTCTCAAATCTCCCTCTTCTTTCTCTTAAGAGGATACCAGTCACTAGACACCCTAAATCCAAGCTGATTTTATGATCCTGTCTTAACTACGTTTGCAGAGATCCTATTTCCAAATAAGACTAGGTTCATAGGTCCTGGGGGTCATGACTTAGATGTAGCATCTTGGGGAACACTACCTCCCTATAAGGGTTATCTAAACAAATGAAAATTAGGAAATTTCCTGAAATTCAAGGAAATCATAAACTTTATTTGGAAGAGATCACTTTACAATTTAACTGAGGGACTTATTTTCTAAACTTGTTTTCTTACTTGGTTTAATTGGTGACAATGGAATTTAAGAATATTGAAAGATACTTTATGAAACTTTTAAATAGAGAAAGTTATTCTAAAAATTTTATAGTGTGTAACTAATTGTGCTCCATGGACACCTTTGCCATCTGCTATGATAGGTATTGAGTTCATCTCTAAATGAGGTGATTTGATCATGTGAAAAATGGATAGAAATGGATATTTTAGGATTTTTCAAAGGAAACATTTTGTTCTAAAACTTGACTACCCTGCAGCTGATACAATTTACAAATTTATAAAGCAACTTAAAGATTAAAATAAATAACCTTTATTTGGCAAGATGAACTATTTGCTACCATTTCAGTTACACTTGTTTACAATTTTGAACAAAAACCCTGCTGGCACCACCACCACCAACAACAAAATAATGGAATTTTTAGTTTTTCCTCTAAACTGTTTCTCTGTATTCAGTCATGTACCCAAAGCTTTCACAGCAATTCAAATCCATCTGTCCCTTTAGAATATCTAATTACGGGTAATAGCTTCCTGGATTTCAGGTAGAAAATCAAATCCTTATTTGCCTCAAAGTCTTGACCACTACTTGTATATTACCTAAGAAATGCATGAAATGACGTTAAGTTATGAATCTTTCCTTTTAGGAGCCAAATATAAGTCAACTGTGTATATTGAATTTTCTTGAGATTTTTAATCACTGTTTTATTTAACATCTATGTGAGTGCAGCTGAAAAATATAATAATTGAAACAAAGAGTATAAAATACAGAAACACTGAAAATGGATGGGAAGTGCTGCTGATGTAAGGAGACTCAGTGTAGAGCAGCCTTTATCTCTCAGAGCATCACCAGAGGTGTGTGGACTTGATGATGATGTCAGTCTGCATAGAAGATGTCATAATTCTAAGTCTGTGTGCACCTAATAGCATAGCTTCAAAGTATATAAAACAAACATGCTTCTATGATGAAAAAGAAATGTCTATCATAAGACTTTACCAAACTTCTTTTAATGGCTAGAAAACAAATTATTGCTCATCATGATGCTTTTCTGCTTAGAATATTCTTCTGGTTTCTCTGATATGTAGAAAATAGACCAAGTACCATTTGTGTGGCACACAAGAACCTCCACAGTACATCTCCAACTGCCTGTTTAGCCTTGTCTCTGTTCTCCTGTACCTGCTATTTCCTGTTTCACTGCCATACAAACTCTGGATGTGACAGTCCATTTCATAAGATGAGCCAAAAATCATTCTCACAGATAATGAGGAGAAAAACGTGTTTTCTAGTTGAGCATATTTGTAAATGGGCTGAAGGAAATTAAGAAAAACATTCAAACTTTATTTTAATACAGCAGCTAAAGCAGAAACAGGAGAGTTCAGAAATGAAATTGCTATGTAGCAGGAGTGTGTGAAATAAAAATTTATGAAAGAGCACTAGAAAAATATTTTCAGAATTAAAACCAGATTTGAATGAATATAGGAGAAAGTAGACACTGCAGAAAGCACAACCAGGGGAAAAGGGGATGTGAAGGAGAAAGATGAGGAAATAAACCCATACTCGAATAAAGAAAATGGTAAGACATTCAGATAAAAGGGTGATACAGAATTTTGGCAACATAGATTGAATTTATGGATAGTTGGGGTCCCTGAAGAATTTTTTTAAAAAGCAGTTGAACAGAACTAATACTTAAAATTGTAATTCAAAAAGTTTTTTTTAGAAATCACTTAAATCTGTATATTGAAAGGGCCTGGAAAAATTGACCCAGACTTATCAGCACCAAAGCACTAGAGTTTAGTAAATCTGTTTGACTATAATCATTAAGTAGAACTAGCGCCAACATAACACCTCAGTGCATCCATATAAAACTTAGTAAGGGGAATGTCGGGTTGGCATCAGATTTCTCTAAATCATCTTATGTTAGAAGACATTGGAGGGACTGTTTAACATAGAAAAAGTCTGTGTCAGGATTTTTATATTCAGATAAACTGTCCTTCAAGTGTAAAGCCAGACTCACTATTATGAACATGAGTGAGTTCATTTGGAAGAAAGAAGCTCCAGAAAAGCCACTGTGAGATTGAAGGACCTTCAGCAAAAGGGTCAGGTGGGCAGTGAATGTGTTCAGCTGTATAACTAACAGATGGAGAGGAGGGCACCAACGTACACTCTAAATGTATTTGTTACAGTTTAAAAAATAGTACAAAGGTGGTGGAGGTGAGAGTATTCTAGAAAGCAGAGTAAGCTCCTTGATTTTCTCATATGTAACATTTGGGGGTAAGATTATCACTTGAAACTGAGAATAGAATTTACTCACATTTATTATATACCCATATTATCAATAACAAAAATGCTAAGCTAATTCTAACAGTTAAAATTGGATAGGAAGGGAGAGGGAGCAGAGATGAAAACATAGTGCCAAGTGATTTCAGTATTGGGCATTAATAGAAAGCAGATGTGCAGGGTCTGAGAGGGGAATGGGCTAGAGTTTCACATAAAGATTGTAATAAAAGGTGACATCTACAAGAATGCAAAAAGAAATACCTAAGCAAGAGGAAATAAAATAGATCATAAAATGAAAGATTCTGTGTATATATTGTAAATACAAAAAACAGTAGGATAGAATGGATATCAACATGTCAATCCTAGCAGTAAGTTCAAGGAGAATAAATCCATCTTTTGAAAGAAAAAGGCTCTCAGATTGGATTTTATAGATAAGGAAAAACATCTGAGTTTATGCTGAATGCGGGAGATGCCCTAAATCAAGGTGATTCAGATAAAAAGGAGATAGACAAATGTCTATCAGGAAATGAAGACAGAGCATATTTTGTGATTTTGATTCCACATGAGACATAATTCAACCTTCCAAAATTAATGAGGCAAAGACAATGAAAATATAATGTAAAACCTAGTCATCCAGGAAAATAAATGGAAGAGCAAATTTCATAAATCAGAAACACAAGAAATGAAATGATAAATAGCCAAACACTAATAATGGAGACTATAACAATACCCATCTTAGTCCTCAACAGATGGAGTACACAGAAATTATAAGGTTATATTAAACCTGCATTACATAATAATATATTATCTTCTAGACATGCCCACAAGGAAACCATTCTTTTTTCAAATGCACATCAGACATGATCATTGACCAAATGTAAGTTCATAGAGAAATATATTAAAGAACAAAAAATAGGATTTTATCACTATAATGCAACCAAACCATAAATTGATAATGGAAACAAAACCCCAAAAAGTTCCTTCCACCTAGAGATACAAAAATTCTACTGAACAAATCTTGCTTTAAAGATGTAAAACAAAATGAAATTGTGGAATGATGTTATTTCATTATTGTTATTTTTATTAAGGTATCATTGATACACACTCTTATGAAGGTTTCACATGAAAAACATTGTGGTTATTACATTCACCCATATTATCAAGCATCCCCATACCCCATTGAAGTCACTGTCCCTCAGTGTGGTAAGATGCCACAGAGTCACTACTTGTCTTCTCTGTACTATACTGTCTTCCCTGTGATGACCACCCACACACACTATGTGTACTAATCATAATGCCCCTCAGTCTCTTTCTCCCTCCCTCCCCATCCACCCTCCCCTTTGGTAACCACTAATCCCTTCTTGGAGTCTCTGAGTCTGCTGCTGTTTTGCTCCCTTCAGTTTTGCTTCATTGTTACACTCCATAAATGAGGGAAATCATTTGGTACTTGTCTTTCTCTGCCTGGCTTATTTCCCTGAGCATAATACCCTCCAGCTCCACCCATGTTATTGCAAATAGTGCTGCAATAAACATAGGGGTGCATATGTCTTTTTGAATCTGAGAACTTGTTGTCTTTGGGTAAATTCCTAAGAGTGGGATTCCTGGGTCAAATGGTACTTTTATTTTTATTTTTTTGAAGAACCTCCATATTGCTTTCCACAATGGTTGAACTAATTTATGTTCCCACCAGCAGTGTCAGAGGGTTCTCCTTTCTCTGCATCCTTGCCAGCATTTGTTGTTCCTACTCTTTTTGATGTTGGCCATCCTAACTGGTGTGAGGTGCTCATTGTGGTTTTAATTTGCATTTCCCT